ATTCACACCCAAACACTCCATGGAGAGGAATCCCGGCTTTTGGAGGTGAAGGTGGTTGGGGGTAGGTTTGGGGGGTCTAACTACCGAACCTGAGGATGTGGGCCAGGAGCCCTGGGGAATATTCATCGACTCCAGGGCAACCACACCAATGTATCTGAATATGCCAGTCCCATTAGTCGTATCTGGGACAGTCTGTTCAACAACGGACTGCCCTGGTCAGCATTGTTTTATGGTCTGGATTTGAACGCCAAGTATGACTGGAGTCTCCACAGCAAACCGACCGCCTTGTTTTTGAAAAAACATCTGTTTGGATCTGTACAACCCACAGATGCTGTCTGCTTGTATGGTGTGCTCAGCAACGCTTCACCATGCTTTTGTCACGTTTAGTCACCAAGTCTTTGCCACTTCAATCCCCTATGACCACGGCGTTCGACCGTGTGATCGGCAAGGTGTTAGGGTATGCATCATCTTTAACAAGAGAGGTAGCAATAATCAATCCTTTGCACATATACAAGGTTCTGATACTGTACATCTTCTTTCAAAGGACTCTTATTCATTACCACATCAACTGTGAAATTACACTCCCTGAACTCATCATGGAAGTGGAACCTCTACTAAACAAAATGGATCATCGCATTGACCATCTACTGGGCTGCGTGTAAATTGCGACGGAAACCGGTGCACTAGACAAGTAGGAATAACACTACTGTTTGGAATTACACTGGTTTCCGTCGCAATTAACACACGTCCCATCTACAGTCCAGCCCCTAAACCCATACTGACCCCAAACCGCCCCTCTCCTCAGCGGTCCGGGTCCGTCGCCTGTGAGCGTTTGTCTGCTGGGAGACGCCGGCCGTGAACCTTCATCTTCACCTGCACTTCGCTCGCCGCGGAGCGCGAACGCGAACGCGTTCCCGGCGCCGTCGCTCGGCCGCGGGCTGCCGCCCCGGCGCGACGAGGTCTGCTGGAGCCGAAGAGATTGGGAGTGCTCAGAAACGACGCAAGAACATCCTCGCCCATGGCTGGAATGCAAGTTTCTTGCCATACCATTCGATGAAAGAAACTTCTGGTTAAAACCGATTGCTCCCATCACCAGGCGCATATCTTCCCACATCAGACAGCAACATCAGGCTCTTTTTTGTGGAAGTGTTGCAGTAGCAACATGTTGCATTAAAGAAATGTTAGATATGCATGATATTAATATTGCATATTAAATAACTACTTAGTAATGGAATCAAAGCTTGGACCAAGGATGGCCACAAATTAATGAGTTATGTGAGTAAAAGGCCAATATACGGTACCTTTGTGCACTTGTCTTCAGTTTTGCTGAACAGTTTAAACATGTTTTCCGGCAAACTGGAAACTGCCCCAGTTTGTAAACAAAGGGACGTTCTGTTCTGTTTGGCCACAACCAATGTTGAACGAGAGTGTTTCTCAAAGCATTTTTGAATATTTTTGATATGTGGGCAACGCTGTCTCTGGAACAAAACCAGGATAGGACGGTATAGCATCGTTTTGCCTGTGATTTGCCCACCAAAAACATGCGATTGTGCAGAGGTTCTGCAGCTCTAAACCCTTCCGGATGGTGTGGGGCTCTAAACCCTTCAGTATATGCATCGTCCACGTCCGAATTAGCCGACGAGTGGTTTCCGCGGATAGCAAAGACAAGAGCAAGAGTATCAAGCGAACCTCCTTGCGAAGTCTCTGCGAAGTCTCTTCTTCTGAAACAAAAACAATTGCTCGTAGTTCAACATCTGAACAACTGTTTGGTGAATGAGGTTGGGGTGAACATTTGATATATATATATATATAGAGGTGTGTATATATATATATATAGAGGTGTGTACATATATATATATATATACAAGCTGAACTCCAACTTGCGCCTTCACCTCCGCCCAACAAATCTTGCTTGATCTCCAGCAAGAACTCTCGCGCATCTTGCAAATGGCCCAGCTCCACAGGGGTGCCTCGGACACCAAGTCCCACGATGCTAGGTGCCGTGGGTGAAAACTTGTCCTGCTAAACCCCAACCCGCCACAACCTTCTCCAACGCTCCATACCAAGAAATTGACCTGTCAAATGGTCAAACCATGTCAGACCATGTCGGGACATGCTGCGGTTTTTTCTCCACCAGGCGCCTTGCGTCTGCAGGTTCGGAGACACCACCGATCCACCTCCCGCCCCCTCATCCGATCGGGTTCCCGCACCGATGGGGGCCACAGTGACCAGCCCAGTTCCGCCGCGGCAGGAGGCCCTCCGGAGAGCGCTGGCAGAGCTGCGGCGGTGCACGGGCGTGTTCGAGCTCAGCGAGCCAGCGGAGCCACGGCGGTGCACGGGCGCACCAGCGCCGCTGTGGAGGGAGTGCAAGGCCGATGACGCCTACGGGGCGAATGGAGGCCCAAGTGAAGCTCTCCAGATGAAAGGTTGCTAGGTGCACGGAACTGCACCACATTCGGGGCCCCATGGGATACTCGTACCCAGTAAAAGCTCACCTTTCAGCTGCTTGGTCAAAAAGTCGCTGCATTTTGTATATAATACTTTATATAGAGACAGCAAATGTGTGAACCAATCTTCAATGCTGGACGGGAATCTAGGATATACAATGATATGTGAAGACTCAGATTGCACTCGAAATGTTCAGGCACGTGCAGTCTACTTAAGCTTATTCACGTGGTCTTCCCTCCCAAACCTTTCCCGCGCGTCTGTTCGGCCGAGCGCTTTGCGCCTTCGAGCTTGCGGTGCTGATGCGTGGCCGCGCGCCACGCTGCATGGCGGACAGGTGCCACGGTGGCGAACCAGATCTGTGAAACCCCAGTGCTGTTGGTTTTCCATACGAAACATAAACTCCTTCATTCAGACAGATCATGGCTGTCTTTTTCAAGGAACAGTTCGGAACATGCTTAGCATCTATCAGAGCATCTTCCTCTACGGTCGGCCTGAACTCAGCTTCCATGAGTGGGCGAAATGGTGCCAAGAGTGGGCGAAACACTTGGTTCCAATACTCACTTCATACACGGCATCTTCACCAGCTGAAAGAGATTGGAAGAGCCTGGAGTCGTGGTCTAGATGGTCTAGATGGCTTAGCAAATTGCTCCAATATGGGCCCATGCAGCTTGAACTCTGCAGCTGATGCAGTCGATCTCCTTGGCAGGAAAGGAATGTAAGGCCCAGCCCATCGACCAATTCAATTCCATCAGTTCAGATGGCCAGAGTTGTTGCAATGGTTTTGTTAAGTTTTGTTAGTTCTAAAATCACATGGATTCCACACCAACAGTTGAGAAGCATATCCAGTTTCTGGATCTCGATCTTTCTAAGGGGTAGAGCCTTGTAGAGTTGATTCCAACGAACGTTGTGGATACCGTACCAACATCAATCAACTGTTGCCACGATGTGCAAACAGCAGCCTTCAAAAAGCTGAGGCCCTGCATGACGTCAGGAATCTTGCAATCATTCCCTATCATGCCCTAGGGATCCAAGTACCTTCTCAGAAGGTGATTGGAGACACTGTCATGTATGTTTGGAGGGTCCAAGTACCTTCTGAGAAGGTACGACTGGATCCCTCGGGATGTATGATGAAATGAACAAATTTCGAACATTCTTGCAAACCATCTCCCTCTCACCACCATCAAGAATAGCTGCCACAACGCGCTGCCCACGCTCCGCACTCCCCTTTTTTTGGCAGCACCTGGAGTGTGGCACACCGGTGGGACGCTGGAGTTGAAGAACCATAATATACCAGGGCCCCTTAAGGGGTATCTAATTATAGCTCCTTAGAGGTTAAGGGGCATCCATTAACCCACCCCTTACGGGGCCCTGGTATGGTTTAAAGATGTTTCCGTCTGACATGGATCTTCCAACTATGCAACATGGGTTGTTTTGGGCGGGGTATATGGATGAAACAGATTGAACGAAAACATCAGTTCTGCAGCGTTGGAGTCGAGGATCCGGTATACCCTCATGCTAGAAACGAGCCCCCCCCAAAGCAGCCCCCAAATTAGGGAGACCGTAAAGAGGGGGTGTCGATTGACCCTGATTGACCCTCCTTATTCCTTAGCATCGGATGTCCAGCTTCGATCCTCCTTCACCATGCCACCAGGGGGGGGATGGTTTGGGTCGACTCACTGGGCTGGCAGCTGCGCAGATGCAGAGTTGGAACATGGTATGGAAAAGATATGAAAAGATGGAAAGGTCTACGGCGGATACGGATCAGTTTCTTTTGGCCATGTTGGGCCCACCTCGGATGGTCCGTCTCCGCGGAGCTTCGAAGCTGGAAGACTCCGCGACTCGGCAGGAAGGTTTCCGCGGAGTCGCTCAGAACGGCAGACGGTTTCGACGGCCGTTTTCAGCCGGCTGGGTGGCTTTCGAACTTGGAGCCTTTAGTCCCTATCTAGTCCCTATCTAGTTTGATGTCAAAGGCGCGATCCAACCGCCAGCGATTCAACATGATTCAACCGCAGCCATCAGGAACCATTTTGGGGATCGACTGTGGAGCCGAACGAATCCTAGGAACAAGTGCATCGCTACTAGTAACAAGTGCCTTACTAGTAGTAACAAGAAGCTATTAGAAACGA